TGAACCCAGGTCTTTCTGGCTCCAAAGTCTGATCTCTACCCACTTTGCCTCTTAATTAGACATGCCTTGATTGCATTAGAGAGTTGCAAAATCCACCACCATGTGAAATTTTTGTCAGGGATGTCATTATAATAATAGCTAGCATTTGTACACAGCTTTAAGGTTTGTAAAGCACTTTATATATATAATCGCATTTGATCCTCACAATAGTCTTGTGAACTAGCTACCATTATTTTCCTCATTTTACATATTATCATCCACCAGTAAATCAATAAACATTTAATAAGTGCCTACTACATGCCAAACATTGGAGATAATACATGCTAAGCACTGGGGATACCAAAAAGAGGCAAGATATTCTCTGCCCTCAAGGAGCTTGCAATTTAGTGGGGGCAACAACATGCAAACAAATACAAGCAAAGTAAGCTATATATAGGATAAATGGGAAATAATTCAAAGAGGGAAGGCATTGAAATGAAGAGGGGTTAGGGAAAACTTCCTGTAAAAGGTGGGATTTTAGTTGGGCCTTAATGGAAGCCAGGGAGGTCAATAGCAGGGGTAGAGGAAGGTATTCCAGTCAGGGAGGAACAACAGCTAGAGAAAATGTCCAGAGTCAAGAGATGGAATGTCTTCTTTGTGGAACATCCATGAGGCCAGTGTCACTGGATGGAAGAGTGTGGGTAGGGGAGTAAGGTGTATGAAGACTGGAAAGGTAGGAGAGGCTTGATTCTGAGAGAGGTTAAATAACTTACCCAGGACCATATTTCTAATAATTGTCTATGGCAGGTCTTGAATTCAGGTCTTCCTGACTCCAAGTCCAATGGTCTATCAAGGAAAGCTTCTTGGTGCGGGGAGCATTTCAGTTGGGCTTTAAAGGCTGAATAGGACTTTGGCTGTTGCTGTTCAATTAGTTGCATCCATTCTTCCTGACCCCATTGGGGGTTTTGTTGGCAAAGATAATGGAGTGGTTTGTCATTTCCTTCTTTAGCTCATTTTGTAGATGAGGAAACTGAGGCAAACAGGGTTATTTGCCCAGGGTCACACAGCTAGTAAGTGTCTGAGATGAGATTTGAACTCAGGAAGATATGTCTTCCTGACTCCCAAGCCTGGCATTCTATCCACTGTGCCACCTAACTTCTCAGGACTTTGGTAGGCCTCATTTTTAACTTTTCCCCTTTTCTTTACTCCCAGAAAGCTAAGTAGAGAACCTCAGAACAAATAGACCAAATTTTGGAGAATTAACATTCAAGAGAGTTTGACTGATGAGCCCCTGAAGGAGAAAAAACCCCCAGTGCCTACTCTACAATAAGAGACCTATTTGGTTTATTTCTCTTCTTTCTGGGCCTTGCAAATACACACTAAATATACATAGGTCTATTTAATAAATTTTTGGATAGGAAAAGTAATGACATTCGAGCTCTCTAGCCATTTTGTTCTTCCCTCACTGCCCATTCTGCGTGTTTTGCTTCTTTCTACTTTGTGAGAGTTCCTGGTTGTATAAGAGCAGGACTCAGACCAGCTTTGGTTGCAAAAGCTGTTGTCTGACCCCTGCTACTGCACGGGATCCTGGGGTGAATTCTCCCCTCCGCTTGCCTGCACTGTGTCTTGTTGGCCTGATTCATTCCAGTTCACCAAGTCCTTGGAATTTGGCAACTGGGATCGAGGTTGCTGAAACACCAGATTGTGCAGGATGTCAGTGGAGGCTCAGAGTTACTAGACAGTTCCTGCCCCTCCCCCCACTTTAAAAAAGCCTCTTGGTCCAGTTAAAATGTCTGAAAGTTATTTCAAAATTTTTAACTTTCTACCTCTTGTTAACCCAACTTCCATCCTTGGGGTGAACAGAGAGTAAAAATGCCAAGTCATCTTTGGGCTTCGTTTCCTAGCCTTCTAAAAAAAATTAAGGGGAGGGAGCTGATGGTATACAGGGAGAGAATATTCATCGTATATACACAGATTGTTTAACAATTCTAGGGGTTAGAGGAAATGGATTTAAGAAAGGAGGAAACTTTATTCCTAAAACTTTCCTAGTAGTTCAGGATATTATAATTATACAGGATGTCCCCAAACTCTTAGATTTAGGGACACCCGGTATAGAATGCAAATGGTCCCCATAGTTGAACAAATTTGAATAAGTGGTAGTAAGTGTTAAGCACAGCAAGAAAATTGAGAATATATTAATTTGAGGGTAATAATATATTATTATAATAAGTTATAATAATTACAACAAATGGCATTAGATAATATTATACATTAGATAACAGATTATATAGATAATATTACATTATAATAAATTATATGATAACAAACTATAATAATGCCATGCCATATTATCTCATTTGATACCAACAACAACCTTTTGAAGGAGGTAGTAGAAATATTGTCATAGCTATTTTACAGATTAAGAGACTGAGGCCTAGAGAGGTAAAATGATTTGCCTGTGGCCATGGATCTAATAAGAGTCAAAGTCTAGATTTGAACTCAGGTCTTCTCAGTCCAAACACAGCTTATGAAGGCCGTGAGTTCTAGTTCAGCCCCATTATGTGGGCAACAAGAAATGGTCTTTTGGTCTCCTGACTCCCATTCTTCCCATGACACTCAAAGAAGGGGGAACTTCCAGAATTACTAGGAGGGTCCTAGAGCTCCATTTGAGCTCAGATCTGGATTTCTCAGCACTCCAGCACTGCATTAGTGCTGTGGGATTCTGGGATCTGCCCAAATGACCTCATCATGGTGTGTCTATAACCTGGGTTTTTGAGGGTTTTGTTTTTGGATTATAAGTTTTGGCCTAATGGATAAAATGCTGTTCTTGGTCCTGGGTTTGAATCTTACCTCTGAGTCTTCCCAGAATCACACATTTATATTTGGAAGAGCCTTTAGAAATCTCTGTCCTAGAGCGATTAAGTGACATATCCAGTCTTCATAGTATTAAGTGGAAAAGTCAGGATTTGAGTCCAGATCCTTTGACTCCATATCCAGTAGCCTTTCCACTATGCTATTAACTCCATGACCACGGGAAAGTCACCTGGACTCTCCGAGCCTCAGTTTTTTCATTTACAAAGTGGAGATAACGATACCTATAGTGCCTGTCTCTCAGGGTTGTTATGAAGTTCCAATGAGATAGTCTATGTAGGGTGCTTTACAAACCTTACCTATATATATGTCAGGTGTTATTATTAATATGATTGAACTGTAAAGTGTTTATAGATGACTCTGCCTGCCTCTTGGACAATTCACGCTACCTGTCATGTAGGCATCTCAACCTTAACATGTCCCACAACCCCATTATCTCTCCCACAAACACACCTCTTGTCCCAATTTCCCCATTTCTGTTGAGGGCACCACCATCCATCCAGTCACTTGGGTTTGAAACCTTGGCATTGTCCTATTTCCTGCTCTTTCCCACCCCATATACACAATCATTTCTAAATCTTGTCAATTCTACCTCCACATGTCTTATAACCTCCTTCTCTCCTCACACAACCACCACCCTAGTTCATTCTTCACCACCTCTTACCTGGACTTCTCTTTGGTCCCCCTGCCTTGAATCTCATCCTTCACACAGCTGCCAAATTGATTTTCCTAATGCACACATCTGATCATGTTACTCCCTACTGTTTCTAAAATCAAGTACCTATTGCTTTGGTATTTAAAGCTCTTTACAACGTGGCTTGAAACTACCTTTCCATTCTTATTACATATTACTTCTCTTCACTCTCTACAATCTAGTCAAACTGGCCTCATCCATGACACCCTGTTCCCTATGTTGGTTCGTTTATACTGGCTGTTCCCCATTGCTGGGATGTTCTCTCTCCATTCCACCCTTTAGAGTCTGAGTTTCTTCTAAGTTCAGTTCATGTGACACTTTCTACATGAATCCTTTTCCTAATCCCCTCAGGTATTAGTGCCTCTCTCCTTAAAATAATAGTAACAATAATAATTGCTAGCCTTTATATAGCACTTTGTGCCAGACACTGTGCTAAGCATTTTTATAATTGTTATCGCTTTTGGTCCTCACAAACAATCCTGGGAGATAAGTGCTATTATTATTCCCATTTTTCAATCGAGGAAACTGAAGCAAACAGGGGTTAAATAACTTGTCCAAGGTCACACAGCTATTAAGTGTTTGAGGCTGGATTTGAACTTGTATTTTCCCAACTCCAGGCCAGGCACTCTAACCACTGCACCACCTACCTACCCCAAATTATCTTGTATTCATTTTGCATATACTCAGAAATACATTTTCATTTTGTCTTACCCAATAGAATCTAAACTCCTTGAGGGCAGGGACTATTTCATGTTAATCTTTATCTCCAGCATCTGACACAGTGCCCAGCATACAGCAATCTCTTAATGTTTATGGCTTGATTTATCTGCTCGATCTTCCAAAATAGGATTAGTCTAGTTAAATGTGGAAAAGTTTGTGACTAGGTTGGCCACTGATAAGATTTTGGGCTACAGAAACCCATAAATTAAAAACAAAAAATGAAAAAAAAAAACCCATAGTCCTTAGTTCTTCATGGGCCCCTTTCTGCTTCTAAAAGCAGAAATTCTAAATTTTAGAGGCAGAAATGACTTTTTGGGCTAAAAGCTAGCATGATATTGCTGAAAAGTCTAAGAGACCTGGACGTATTTGTTGTTGTTATTATGGAGTTGTGTCTGGCTCTTTGTGACCCCATTTGGGGTTTTCTTGGCAAAGATACTGGAGTTGTTTGTCATTTCCTTCTCCAGCTCATTTTACAGATAAAGAAACTGAGGTAAACAAAGTTAAGTGACTTGCCCAGGGTCACACAGCTAGTAAGTGTCTGAGGCCAGATTTGAACTTAGAAAGATAAGTCTCCAAGCTTGGCACACTATCCACTGTACCACCTGGACTTATTAGGTGCTTTGTAAATATTTGTTGAATTATTGCATTATTATTTATGAATAAGGAATGACTTTGGGAAAGGGGCTTTTTTGAAAAGTCAAAGGGACAGTGTTGGTGTGTTTTGTTTTCCTTACAGGGTTACCCAGTATACCCCTTACCAACCTGAGGTGTCCCAGGGAAGACTGGAGAGTTTGCTCAATTTCCAGACCATGGTGTGTGATATCACTGGGTTGGATGTAGCCAATGCTTCCTTGCTAGATGAGGGAACGGCTGCAGCAGAGGCTATGCAGTTATGTTACAGGTAAGGCCATTACATCCTTGTAGCCTGGAAGGAGTGCAACCATCACCTGATGTGCAGGGAAGGCTAACTGGAAGAAGTTATGCACCTCTACCAACCAAATCCCATATGAATATATATAATCTAATTTCAACCAGCTCCTCACAGTTGTACAACCATCCTTCATTGTTCCCTAATTCACAATCAAATTCTCCACAACTGCTGTTCCCAGCCTTCTCTTCTCTTCTCTTCTCTTCTCTTCTCTTCTCTTCTCTTCTCT